TTTGCAGACGCAGACAACTTGGCACCTGGGTCCTGCATCTTTGCGTCGACTTCCTAGAAGAACATGTCCTGGAACAGAGACACCGATTTGAGAGTTCTGGCTCAGGTGGTTGTCGGGGCCTGGACATCGTACATGTGTATGCGGTGAACCCAGGCCTGAGTGCAAGGATGAGCAGGGCGGCGGTGGGGGGACTGCCAAGTACATCGTACCCGACAGAAAAGATGGGCTATGCTTGACAAGCAGGGGTTATCAAACATGTAAACCAGATGTACCGTCTTGTCGTTTCCGTCTTGTCTTTTCCGTCTTGTCGTTTCCACTCGCCAGGGAACAGGGCTTCTTGGGATAGCCGCACGCGATGTTTGTTTCCGTTGTGGGACGCTGGCTTAATAAGTCTTGGGGGAGCACAAGAAACTACTGAAAGGTAGTGCCCTGGCGCAACTTGATATTATAGGCTAGCATTTTTTTTGTTGTTTGGCTGCCTTCACACGGCAGAGAACTGACTTGGCGACATACTCTGTGACTGGCAGGACGGTATTCTTGGGAAAACACACGCCGACGACACCCCAGAAGCAAAGAATGCCCAGAGACGGTTGCCTCGCTTTGCAGATTTGATTCCGCTCAACATAAGCCAGCAAACATGAAGAAGGGTTGAGCTACTTACAAGCCCTTCTACAATGGCCACCAAGACTGAACGAGGGTGGACCAACGACTGAGCGTTACAATATGTCTTTGGATCTGGAAGCAGAAGGTGGCGAAGAGCCTGTCTGCACGCCAGTCCGTCCAATGTGCTTCTATCTGCACACCCTTCAACGGGCCGCTGCAGGTCTGAACGAGCATGCTTCACCCGAGGGAGGGGGGCCACCACCCACCCCCACCTGTCAACGTCCCTCAGCGGACGTGGTTTCTCGCGCGGTAGCCGATCAACCCTTCACAACGATCACGCACCATACGTGACAAGACGACGCCGCACAGCGGTCTTGACAGGCAGTGTAACGGTGGTGGTCCCGTTGGCTTGGGCTGTGGGTCCTCCGGGAATCAAATGACGACAGCCACAAATTTCCTGCCGGTACCAACTGGTCGGCGCGCCCCCAACCGCCCAAGATCCTGGGTCGCCCGTTCAACCTCGGCCTGCTCCATACTTGTCTTGACACGAGTCGTCGAATTCAACAAGAGGAATCGGATGGCGGGTCAGAGAATGACAAAGGAGAGCGGACAAGGTGAAAGGAGCCGAAATTGGCATCCATTTCCAGATGATGTGTCCACTTGGTTGCAAAGACGCTCGGTCCGAGACGGCGCGGGGTTTCTATCCCATCACCAAGTACGTGCTGGCTGACTTGTTCCATGCTTTCCTGGCTGCCAACACCACATATAGGAGGAACTACGACGATCTCACTCTGTTCATGCACATGGGACATGTGCCCTGCGACCAGTGGCCAAGGTCGACTGGAGTAGCGCCCGTATCGCCGAATATCATACGCCGACGATGTGGGCCATGATCCCATAGCCCATTTATCCGACCAGTTCCAGTAGTGGGCATGAGAGGTCCCCCCTCCCCCGCCGACGAGGGCGTTCGCTGCAAGACACAAAGAGTGGACGGATGGCATGATGATGAGCTGGCAGACGGCCGCAGGAGGTCGTCCCCAAGGAGACCAGGGACCCCGGTCACTGACATATTGGGGTTTCGTGTAACCCCCTCCTCATCCCAGCATTTCCACCAAACCCTGCCAACCCCTCCCATGACCTTACCATTCCTCTGGGTCCAACGCCCTGGACAGATGAGCAATGTGATTGAGTTGGCCGAGAGGCCCCAAGTCTCGGGACACACCCCTTGTCCCGCTTGTCCGTCCCAGGAGCTAGGTTCGCCGCCGAGCTGGTGTGTTTACAGGGAACAGAGAATATTTCTAGAACTTCTTGTGCGTACCCTTGAGAACTGGAGGCAATAGAGCCCAAGTCAAGGAGAGGGAGGACCTTGGGGTATATGCCCGTTGTTTTGCAGCTACCATGTCGACCCCTCGGACCCCATTACTTTATACTGCAGTGATCCCTGTTCGAGAAGTCATGTATCTCATCAAATTGTGAGCGGCCGGACAAGCCGGATTGAGGCTGTAGGAGATGAGGTGAAGCCAATCCAGTAATGGGGCATCCGTCAGTCAGCTGGATCCGCCAAGCCAGCGTCTTGGTCCCATTGTGTGACCTGATAAATCTCTTATCGCAAGGCTGGCTGGATGGTTGAAACAACCGTTTTGCTGAACGTCGGATGCTCTCTAACCGCATTCAGGGATGGCGACTTGAACGCAGATGCCGTAGTCGTACCCCTTCGAGGCCAGGGGGTGAAGGCCAGCCACCTCTGGTTCCCAATGAGACCGCTTAGGCTCACCGAGTTCATACTTTCGTGCATACCTGCCGAGCCTGACTGCTCGCTTTTCCAAGCATGCAGGTTACAGGAGACCCTCAGTTTGTCCATCGAGGCGGGGGTCGCAAGGATTTGTCATTCGTGCAGCCGGTGAGCCCAGGCCCTGGGACCTGTAGGGGGGAGTCGAGGCAACTGGGCTCTGCGTCGCACGGCTTCACCCACGAATGCCTTGCCCAATTATGCCGATGATCATCGAGACCGCCATTGGGGGCGTATGAGGATAACGAAGAAATCTCGCTCTTGAAAACAAGGGAAATGAAGAAGATAACCCTGTTGGCTCTACGTGTTGCCAATGCTGTCTACTATGCATGTCACCCAAAGCCCCTCTCTGCCCCTTTCCCCTCGTGTTCTAAGTAACCCAAAATTGGAACCACACTGCACTCCTCAGACGGGATGTGTTGGCCATGCATGGCCATTGACATCCCAATGCTGACACAACTCTTTTTTTTTCACCTGCCTAGTCCTGCATGAACGCATGCAGGCTGAGAAAAGAAAACTCCCGAACGGACTCGGCTCGATGCGTACGTTGTCACGCCTGAGCTGACCTGACAGCGCAGCCTGCAGCCTCGGAACGAAGTAACCCGTGTCTGGCCGCTTCTACTCCAGCGTTGACCCCCTTTTGTTTTTGGTCTGGGCAACGACAACTAAGGAACGGACAGTGGCATCCGATTACCAACAGGTAAAGACAGGATTCCGTGCCTTGACAGGCTCGAGCCGCTCCACAATGACCTTGCGATGGTTGCCCTCCATGCCCTCGGCTGCGGCATAGCCAAGGTCACCCTCGACGTCATCGCCGTCATACTCGGGATCGTATTCCCTGCTGCCGCCACCGTACAGTTGCTGCGCAATGCTACTGCTGCTGCGGCGCGTGGCGGCTGTCGCGAAGGAGTACCTGCGCTGCTGCTTCGGGCCAGATCCTGTGTATGGACCCTGGCCCTGGCGCTGCGGTGCGTACACGTTGAGCGATCGCGAAGGGCCGTGGTAAATCTCTCGGAAGCCCGGGACGGAGATCCTGGGCCGCTGGGGCGTCGACGTAGAGTGCTGATCAAGGTACCCGGATCCGTTCATATGGGAGTCCTCCACCGGCGATTGCGCATCGTCGGCGCCAGGCGACATCGGCATCTCGAACCGGCCGGGATGCGGCATATCAGCTGGGGGGCTAGCGAAGCCGAGGAGATCCTCGGCGTCACTATCGGGACCATGAACGGGTGCTGAAGCGGCGGCAACGCCAATGTCACCCTCGTCGAGGGAAGAGTGTTCCCCACGACGGCGCAGCTCGGAAGACATGCGCATGGGGAAGGCCACGGGTATGTCGACGAGGTCGTCCCAAACGCAAACCTTGGCGCGACGGGTCAGCTCAAGAGGCCCGTGATCGGCGAGCTTGAGCGTCTCGACGACGTTCCAGGCCTGGCCCTTCATAACGGCCATCTGGCGGGCGAACATCTTTTCTTGGAAGTCCGGATCAACTTGGAATACCTTACGTAGGGCAAGGGCTGTCTCACTCCACCACTGGGTAGAGGTCAGAAGGGGGAGGAAGTGGTCACGCGTTTTTTGAGAGAAGGGGCGGCCGATTAGATCTACTGGGAGGAATAACCAGCCAAAAGGGAAGCTGAGGTCTTGTCAGGACTTGATTCTCATCAGAAACTGCGAATGGCCGTATGAACTCACCTGCGCCAGGCATCAGGGTGTTTCCACGGCCACGACAAGGAATTGTCGATGGCTCCAACTGTGATCCTGGGCTCCCGTCCCCTTGGAAGCGGACTTGCCGCCTTCATCGGCTGTTGCGTCTCGTACGAAGGGTATTTCGCACGCGACTCTGGCATCGACCTTGTGTTTAGGTCTACTGGCCGCGGGCCTGCCTCCTCTCCTGACTGGGCGTTGGTCATGTTCATCTGCACAGGTTCCGAGACGACAGACACCTGCTGTGTCTGCCAGTCAACCTTGATCATCCAATTGTCGAGACCGCGGTCCGTATTCCGCATGATATAGTCCAAGATGACGAGCTTCTCGAGCTCCTCCCGGAAAGACTGCTTCATGTTATCTGTCCAGACAAAATTGTCGGGGCCAAACTGGACCTCGCCGCGTTCGCCCTCGTCGTCGCTCTCAACGTCGTCGAGCGCGGGCCGGCCGCCAGGGCGACAGTTATCGGCCCACCGCCTTCTCCTCTTCCGGTGGGGGTCATTTGTGCGGAAGCCGGACCAGTACTGGTCGGGCCATGGGTGTTCTCGCAGGAAAATGTTCGCGTCCTTGAAGCCTGTCAAAAAGACTTGGAAGCTACCGGCCTTCTCAGGCAGGGCCTTCTTCTTGCGGGAGAAGCTGCGGCGGTCCCAGAACGGGTAATGGAAGGACTTTGAAGATAGGTTGACAACCTCTGTGTACGGGACCATATGAGTGCGGAGTTGGCAGTCGAGGGTATAGGCTGCGGCCTCGCTGACGTATGAGAGATTGGGGATGAGGCTACGGGTAGAATGTTAGTACTCTCCCTTCTTCCCCTTCTACTTTTTTCCCTCTTCGAGAGAACATACCAAGCGCGGCCGAAGCAGCAAGGAAACAGGTTGCGGTGAATCCATTTGTTCCATTTGGGATTGCCAGCAGCATAAGGTTCCTCGTCCTTGGGCTTGAAAACACCGACAATCTTGCCCTCGGGATTCCGTGCAAAGTAACTCCCCGAGCTGCCCTGTGATATCATGCGTGGATGAACGCCTTGAGCGATAGCGGTGCGCACACTGCCGACAATTTCTTCAAACTCGGCGCGCGACATGACGGGCTGAGGCTCAGCGAGCCCCTCGGCAGTGAGAGGTCGTACGCCTTCCGGGGGCTGGAAGACGGAGTGGTGGATCTCGAGGCGGTCGTCCTCGCCGGGCTGCTTGTTATGGGCGCGGGAGCGCTTGAAACGTGAGGCGATCTCGTCGGCCCAGCGCTCGAGGCGGGCATTGATGGCCTTGAGATCGACACCGGAGCCGGAGCCGACGCGGCGGCGGGGACGTGGGCGCGTCTGTGACGAGGGCGCCGTGGGATCTCGGTGGTACCCTTTCGGGGTGACCATGCCGGACCGGGGACGCGGTTGGGTTATTGGGGCGAAGCGAGGGGCCGAGGCGGGCTGAAGGGTGGCAGAAGAATGAGAGAGGGGGTCTTCATCGTCCGAGTCGGAGGAGAGGGCATCGGCTTGGGCGAGGCGTTCGTAGCCCGTTGTCGGGGGGCGTGTCGGGGGCATCGTGTGAGAGTCTAGGCTGTAGACGTTTGGGGAAGGTAATTTTGATTATCGACGGTTGTCTCCTGTCCACCAGTCCAGGTGTTGTTGTTATTGCTGTCGTCGTCGTCGTCGTTGTTTATGGTTGACGTTTGATGCCCCTTAATTTCAGACGATGCAACTGGAGGACTCCAGGGCTGGTTTTGGGAGGGGAGGGGGGCAGATGATCGGAAGGAAGGACGAGTAAAGGAGTATACAGAATGGCAACGGCACAAAGCCAAAAGGACAGGAATACAGTGGGCAAGCAAGGAATATGGGCGGCGTGGCCTTGGAAGTAGCAGCACTCAGGAGCAGGTCATGATGTAGAAGATGTGGGTGGACGTGGCATTGGATCGTGACGTGACGTGACAGCTTAAAGCTGTCAACTAGAAAGTCGATTCCAGGAACAGGTGCACTTTCCAGGCTTTGGCCTTACACGTGCTTATCCACTATCTGTCTGCATCGGGCAAGGCAGCCGCGGCGCACCGGGGGCCTCCTTCTTCTTAGGTAAGAAAGTCTGACTAGCGCTGCCTGCTCCCTCCCACGCACACCACCTGTGCCTTCCCAAACATCCAACCAAATCCCAAGAGGGAAGCTATTCCAGGCGTCACTCCTACCTAAGGGAAGGTGCGTTATCTTGCCTGATGAGTAGTTATTTCCAATGACTTCTGTATGAGGCAAATCAAAGATCGATGGCATGGCGAAATTGGCCAGACCCGGCGTCTTCAGTGAACAGCAACGCCGTCGATGTACAACCCAGAACTGGTATCCGAGCACGCAGCTATCATGTATACAGACCAGACACCTGCCCTGCCGTTTGCACTCTGGGGCAGGGTCACACTGAACGACCGCCATACGCCTCCCACGATGGAGCCCGGCTGCAGCCTGTAGCCTGCTTCATCACTTGTCCAGCCCAGAATGGGACCACAACCCCCCCGGGTTCCCACTTGCAGCCCGGAAACTCGCTGTCAGCCTCCAGTCGCGGCCCGCCGGGTTGGGATATAACGTTACGGGCACTGCTACCGCAAAGTTGCGAAACGCCTCATTGCCGAGAGACACATAAAGCATACCAGCGCCAAAGAGGCCCGAAAAGGAACCGTCTGCCGATGTCTGCACGATGCGGCACGGGCTCTGTTCGACGTTGCGGCACCAGTGCCAACCTACGCGTCGGGGTGCGATGGTAGAGCAGCCAGGATATCCAGCGCCTGCGCGTGCCTGAGACCGAGCACGACGACGGTGACGCCTACCACGACGCCCACAACGACACCCATGCCACAGACGACGACCTGTCCCGTGTCGGTCAGCGCGTTGACTGTGACGAGCGTCACGACAGTCACGTCCATCGCGACGGATCCGACGGTAGCAGGCCCACCCGGCAGCTCCAACGTGCCAAACGCCCTCTTCGAGTCGGGCAACGGCTCGGCAGAGGCCAGTCGTAGCAGGACTCGCCGTGGCCGTATATGTGCTGCAAAAAGCCACTGCCTGTGTGACGACGGCGCTGTTGCGGAGGCCACGGAGGCAGTTATCAGCGTTGCATGACGCTGCTTGTGACTGTATCAGCAGCGAAGCCACCGCCATGACTGATACGAATGTCCTCATTTTATTTTGATATGAGTTGTTGATGCTCATTTGACTGCTCGGGGTAGGTTTCTGCTTCAAGGCTGCGTACCAAACTGATAACCTCACAAAATTAGTTTGGACACACAGCATATAAGCTTCTACTCATCTGTCCCTGTCCGCTGAAATATACCCTTGACATCGCTCTTCTGAACTGTGCCTCCGGCCTGCTTCACTAGCTCGCCGTGAATGCCGCGTTGCTTTGCACCAGTCAACGGCGTTGCCGGCGCTTGAGGTCCAATGGCAGCGACCACCCGTCATCATTGCTTATTTTCAGCTCGCCCTGGGACTGCTTCTGTTTCTCTTTTCAGACGTACAGAAAGCGCCCTGGGGCTTAGATGGTGAACAATGCCGCGCCAATGCATGTCAGACCGACCTCTCTCGCTTACCCCGCCATCAACCTAAGGCCTCGGGTCTCACGCAGCAAGACTCGATTAGGCTTCAGAAGTTTGTCTAGGGCGAGCAAGATTCACCATACCTCGGATCCCAGGCCAACCGTAAGCTCGCCGGAAAAATTGAATAGGTATGATCCTACGACCAGCCTATTCTGTTTCTTTCCAAGATCGGGTTGTGCTTCGAGCCTCGGTGCTGAAATGAAATGACCAGCGACGCGTGCTCCCGCATAATATACTTGGCGTATATTCATACGGCAAAGGTGTCCGACTGTGGATGGAGCTTCCGACAGCAGGTGTTCATCGACTGAGGAACCTCTAGAAACTAGGTACAATACTCAGAAGAGGTTATGCTGCGGCATGGAACATTAGGCCTGCGTATTCACATTGGATATACCAAAGGCTGTTTTTCACTTGTCCATTACCTTCAGCAAACTGTCAAACGCCATGTCAGGTCAATACGATGTCTGTGCCCGAAATATTGGCAACTTCGCTGCCTACTTGCAGCCACAAGATATACTTACTGAGCTCCTGTCGAACATCCTGCATCATTCCATGTCTAAGGCTCGCGAATGTCGGTCAACAAATACTCCTGTCAAGACAAGTGAGGTTGTTTGATAAAGTCCAGCTGGAAGTTTTCAGCAAGCCAACGGTACAAGAATCATCGATTGAACACTCTATCGCTGACTAGTCGCCGAGGCCTGTGACAAAGCCGGCCGTTCCTGGCTAGAATTCTGTCTCGGCAATTGCGCAATGTGGGCTAGCTGTCCGTTGCAGTGGTATACAAATTACCCCGAACCGTTGGGCATGAGTAGAACGCATTGCTTGGCCCGTGAGGATGGCATATGATGATTGCGTGCGGGTTCGTTCGGACGCCGACTGAAAATGGGAACGGATCGCCATGCTACAATATTGCGAGCCTCACTTGTTCCTTGATGTAAATTGTCCGAAACAACAAGAGGAGAAGTAGACGCACAGTATCACATATCACAAAGCGCCAATCCAGATACCCAGACGCTTCGGATCACCATGACACGATCTCCGTTTTCGTCGGAGCAGAACAATCGGAGTAGGTACCAGCCACTACCCCGCGGCGTGCTGGCGCCATGCCTCCGGCGGCCAGGCATTGGACAGTTGGAGCAAGTCCACGCGTGCTTGACGATCAGGGAGTGTCCTGCCACCTCCTCCCTGATCATCGGACGGGCGCAATGCAAAGCCAAACGGAAGATGGGAAACAGAAGCCAAGGTTCACACCACGGGAAGAGCTGCCCGCTCTGCATCCCCGTGACTTGAGCTATGCTGTCAGGGCGTATCCCCAGTGATTGGCGTTCTCCTTCTTTTCTTCTCATTTTGATGGGCTTTTTTTTTAACCTTGGGGCATCGATCAAAAAGCTATTCCCTTTTCTCGTTCCATCAGAAACCCCATCAATTCATCTGGTCAACGTTGGAGGTTTCCCTCCCGGACTTCGCTAAACCATTCGTTTTATTTCTGGATACTTTTTGCACGACCGCCTACAATGACTGCGCATCTCGACGTCGTGCGGGCCTGGCGAGACGACGCGACAGCTCAACTGTCCGCCCCCGAGCTTGACAACCGCGGCCGCAAGCGACACCGAAGCCTTACTCGGTGCAACGCCTCAGTCAAGTGCGGCACCTCTGGCGAATCGAGCACATTGCGCGGACGACCCCGACGGCGCTCGACATCACCGTACGGGGCTGCATCCCGCACCACGTCGCGCGGCGCGATGGACGGCTCGGCTTCGCCGGCGAGGAAGCGTTTGCTCCGCGTCGTGGTCCTCGACCGTCGAAGAAGCCAGAGCCCCTCGCGGTCCCGGTCGCCGAACCGGCGGCAGCAGAACGCGGCGCGGCGGAGACAGCGGACCAGGAGCCGGAGCCGGAGCCACGATGAGAAATCGTACCGATCAGTGGAGCAGGGGGGATGGTTGCGACAAGACGTCCTACGCAAGCAACAGGCCGCCCAGAAGCCTGTGCAGGGCAACGGGCATGGCCTCGGGCATGGGCATGGACATGGACATGGGCATGGCTTTGGGCGTGGTGGCTGAATCGACAAACCCCCAGATCAGATGAGACGGTTGGGTGGCACAGTCGATCGATTTTTCGATTTCCTACTTGACATGGGGTGTCCACCTGATCAGGGTTCCAATGACAAAACTGGACAAAACGGAAGAGAGGGAGGACAAAAAAAAAACAGAGGTGCGTGTTTATGCTGATCTGGGACCCTCCATGGAAGTCTCGTCAGGTCCCATGACCCCCATTCTCGAGACGATTGGTGTGACGAGGCGAGTAATCACTCTGACACGAGCTGAAAGACGGAAGGCTGGGCGGTAAGCGGCCGGCGGGGGTTCTGAATTCGACATGTAATCATTAGTGCTGTTAGTTTAGTAGGTTGGCACACCATGTACCTACCGAGTTACCCAGGTAGATAAGGCTGAGCAGAACAGAAGCATCTACACGAGTTGCACTGCACAGCCGCCGCCCCGGAGAATAGGTGTGTATATCTCTCTCTGTACGGTCTTAACATGTCCTATTTTCTTGGATCACCAAACCCCTCCCCTCTCCTCGGTGACCAGAATTATTGAGGCATGGGATTCGATGTAGAGCCCAAAGGCATCTACAGTGTCCCTCAGGCGCTGGCCTTCGGCTGGTACGTGGGTGTCAAGTAGCACGGCCCCTCCGTCTCGATTCTGCACTGGGCCACGTGCCTCGAGGAGATTTCTCGCTAGCCGTATAGGGCTTAGTCCGCACCCCGCCGGCACCTTCCCCCGCTGTAGGTCGCGCTCTCCAAATGCAAGTGACCATGCCCGGCCGCGCCTGCCTGTCACTGATGAGCATGTGCCGCGTCTAGTCAGCGAAGCCAATGGCCAAGGCAAATGCAGGAAGGAGTGATGGCAGCGGACGGGAAGGTATTGAAAGCGACCGCACCTACCCGCACCCCGATGGTCGCTCTCAGCATCACGTAGCCCAAGTCAATACATGCTGTTCTTGAAAGAGCGCGTGGCCTGGTACTACTAGCTTCTGCAATCTGCATCTGCATCTGCATCTGTGTCACCACACGTCGCCGGCCGACCGAAGGCCTCGTCTTCTCCCTTTCCTCTCTCGCCAACGCAAACGCCATGACACGCGCTATCTGAGAGCAGCATTCACAGAGACGACTCCCTCCAGTCGCCCCTCTATCCCAACCCCCGACTTCGCCCCGACGAAGCACCCTTTGTTCCACACTGCGTCGTCACACACCAACCAGCCTGCCTCTGTCTCTCGATCAACCGTCTGCCGACTTGGTCATTGCCCACCGCGCAGACCCGGACAGCGCGACCTCGCCGACCATCCATCTCGCCTTCGGGCCGAGGAGCGCCAACAGCCCGCATCCTTCTGGTTTTGTTTGTGGGCCAAAATCATCCGGTATACTCCTTCGTTCTCGTCCCTCCCGCAACGACGCCTTCTTTTGTTCCTACGTCCCGTACATCGAGCCTCGGCAGCCTCACAGCCTCTCCGGGAAACAGCAGGCTGCCCCCGCCCATAGAGCTTCACGGCATCCAGCGCCTCGACTGCATCGCGCGTTATGACCACTGCCACGCCCGCCCCTCGACCTCCCACGATACAACGTTCTTGACCCGCCTTCCGTGGCAGACACTTCTCCCTTCACACCCAGAACTGAACGGCAACTAGACAGCGTGTCTGTTTGTCTGCCCGCCTACTTTGCCCGCCATGGCGTCCGCCAACCGGCACAACGGTAGGTTACATCCTGCCCCCATCTTGCCCCCTCGTCTACCACACAATGCTAACATGGGGTTACTGTTCAAGGCCAGGCTGCTGCCGTCCAAGACCCGAGCTGGAACAACCAGACAGCCCCCGCGCCGCAGGCGTGGAATGCGCAGGCCTTGCTTGCCCCGCGCAGCAAGCAAGCCGTTCCTTCCCCAGCTCACGGCTATCCCCAGCGCAGCTACCCCGTGGCAAACCAATTCGCCGGCGCACAGCACAACGGCGGCATGGTCTTCGAGTTCACCGGTCCTTCCGACATGTCCAACGACTCGCTCCCTTCGTCCGTGCCATCGACCTCATCGACACCAGCGACCGATGGCCGATCGACGCCAAATGGTCAGGTGCAGGGCTTAGGCGGCATGATCGAACGCATGAACGGCGTCCAGGACCGCGCATATGCCCCCGCAATAAAGAGGCGCAAAGTCGACACGCCCGAGGCTGACGCTGAGATGACTGGAAAGAAAGGGATGACCTCTGGGGGAAGCGGCGTGCTCGGCGCCTACCTGAAAGAAAAGCGAGAGGAGGCGCAACAAAATGGGACCGCAAGGCCCACGCATACAGTTGATTTGACATTGGGTAGGTAGGCCCCTCCCCATTGCCTGTGGCCTGCCACCACCAACTGCTAACCTCCATTCAGTGGATGATGATGATGTCAAGGTGATTGAACACCCCGACAACGAAGAGGTATGCTATGGCATGCTTCAGGGCAAGGTTCTCTGCAGCATTGTGCCGTCTGCCAAACCCGGAGCTAAGAGCCTGTTTGGTGACAACTGGTTCCCGCCCGCTAAGGTCGTGGCGAAGCGGATTACTGGAGACAGATCAAAGCGCATCTCACTTTACGACTTCACCCGGGAGATCATTGGCAACATTGACGAAATGACAGCCGGTGCTCTTACGCCCCTGATGGATGCCAATATGCAAATCAGGACCGATTGCAGAATACCTGCGCGGAAGAAGCAGCCCGGCGAGGAACCGCGGTCGAGAGTGTCCAAGCTGTACCCCCTCGAGCTGGTCATTTATGGGCCTAAGAAATGGGCAAAGCCCGTGGCAGACCATTTCAAAAAGAATTCAATGGTCCTGCGCCACCCCAACAGGGTAGATAAGGGCATTAAGTATGTCAACTACCAAGTAGTGACAACCGAGCCAGCGGCACCGAGACCGCAGGCCAACGGACGGAACCTGCCGAACAACTTTGTGCCGGGCATGGCGATTGCCCAGCGGACTGTCGAGGAGATGCGTTCCGATGTCATGGGTGTGTTCGATCAAATGGGCAAGAACAACGATGTTCCCGAGCTGGAGCCATCGGACCTCATCGTCACACCCCTATTGAAGCACCAGAAGCAGGGGCTGTACTTCATGACGAATAAGGAGGCCGACGCCACGTGGGAGCAGCGGACGACAGACTCATTTTACAAGGCTCGCATAAGCTCGACGGGGCAGCGGGTCTTCCTCAACGTCGTCACCGGTTTGAACGAACGGCAGCTGCCCCCGCAAACAAGGGGCGGCATCCTCGCCGACATGATGGGACTCGGCAAAACACTCAGTATTCTCTCTCTTGTCTGCCATACGCTCACCGAAGCACAAACCTGGGCGCAGTCTCCATTGATACAGCCGGAGGAGCCCCCCCAGAAACCATCGTCCATGTCTGCAGCCCTCAACACACTGGGTCTCACGAAACTGAAAAGGAACGCCAAGACCACTTTACTGGTATGTCCGCTGACGACCATCTTCAACTGGGAGGAGCAGATCAAGCAGCACATACAGCCTGGCAAGTTTAGCTATTATGTGTATCACGGCGCTACCCGCATCCGAGACGTTGAGCAACTGGCACAGTATGACTTGGTCATCACCACATATGGCTCCATCTCCACAGAACTCGGTCTGCGCAACAAGCGGAAGCCGGGCAAGTATCCCATGGAGGAAATCGGCTGGTTCCGTATCGTGCTCGATGAGGCACACATGATCCGCGAAACGTCAACGCAGCAGTTCAAGGCCATCGTCCGCCTGCAAGCCAACCGCAGATGGGCTGTGACCGGCACGCCGGTACAGAACCGGCTCGAGGACCTGGCTGCTCTTCTGGCATTTTTGCGACTCAAGCCGTTCGACGACCGGAACCGCTTCAACCGCTTCATCGTCGACCCCTTCAAAGCCTGCGACCCCGAGATTGTCCCCAAGCTTCGTATCATGGTGGACAGCATCACGATGCGGCGACTGAAAGACAAGATCGACCTTCCTCCCCGTACCGACCATGTCATCAAGCTCGACATGACCATGGAGGAACGTCAAGTCTACGATCTGTTTGAGAAGAACGCTCAAGATCGAGTACAGGTTTTATCTGCCAATGCTGAATCGAGCAAGGGGGCCCTCGGTGGCCAGACATATATTCACATTCTGCGCTCCATTCTGCGTCTGCGTCTGCTTTGCGCGCACGGTGCTGATCTCCTCAACCCAGACGACATGCAAGCTTTGGAGGGCATGACAGCAGACATGGCTATTGACCTTGATAGTGATGACGAAAACTCCAACAAACCGGCACTGAGCGAACGCCAGGCATACGAGATGTTTGAGCTGATGCTCAACACGAATGCCGACAAGTGCAGTCAGTGCACCAAGAAACTCGGCGCCAGCGATGGCGCTAGTATCGAGTCCGAGGGGCAAGAGGAAATTCTTGGGTACATGACGCAGTGCTACCACGTCATTTGCGGCCCTTGTTTCAAGAAGGTCAAGGAGTTGGCCAAAGAGCAGCCGGGCCAGTGTCTATTCTGTCCCAACCAAGTCGATATGCAGTACATTGCACTGAAGCGCGCTCGCGCCAACGTTGAGCACGACGGTCACATCAAGGCCAAGGCTGCCAACAACGGCAAGAGGACGTTTGATAGGTACAACGGGCCTCACACTAAAACAAAGGCCCTGCTGGAGGACCTGCTCAAATCGGAAGCCGAGACTGCTGCAAATCCTACGCTGCCTCCGTTCAAGTCGGTCGTCTTCTCCTCATGGACAACCCATCTTGACCTTATTGAAATGGCGCTTGACAGCGTAGGCATCACTTATTCGCGACTTGACGGTAAGATGAGCCGCAACGCGAGGACCAAGGCTATGGATGAATTCCGTGATAATCCCTCGATTCACGTCATCTTGGTGTCCATCATGGCCGGTAGTCTCGGCCTGAACCTGACTTCAGGCAACAACGTATATGTCATGGAGCCGCAGTATAACCCTGCCGCCGAAGCTCAGGCTGTCGACCGTGTGCATCGACTAGGCCAGAAGCGTCCTGTGCAGACTG